ATTCTCTCTCTCATATCATTGTGTGAGGTTTAATTTTACAAAACATCTATGACAATGACATTCTGTAGAGAGGATTTACTTACATACTTTATAATCTTCGACGAAAATAGCGTTTTTGCCGAGTGCATACGAATTATTTTAATGAAAGTACTATTATGCTAGTCTGTGACTAACATAGAGCACATTCATAGCTTGGCACTTTGTTCCATCTAGATTTAATGCAGAAAACATACGTGACCATACAAACATACATATAAAAGAATGTATAGACATAAGACAAAGAGTCACGTGATAGGGTCTCATCAAATTTCCCGAATAGAACGTTCGGTATCTCAACTGTTCAATATAGTGGCTGGTCATATGTTATCGGTGACCAATCGTATCATGAGATACCTGTCACAGAGGAAAGGACAGGTAATGGGGCATGGGCGAAATTTCTGAAGAGCACGTTTGGTTACTCAACAGCTTGGATGGAGATTGATTATTGGCTATATCTTTGACCAGTCGATATGCTGGGTTTCGGCTTTATCAACTCAAGCTATCATGTAACAGTTTGTGTATTTTAAACACACACACCGGTAACGATGTTTGAAATATACACATAAGACAAATAGGAGTAGATAGACACTTTGGTGAGTTTATTTGTCCTCATTTTAGTGTTTTTCGATAAGTAAAACAAAGCGTGTGAAATCCAACCATTGAGTAGAGATAGTATTTATTTTCATATACATTTTATGCACACAACTAGTACATTAAACATAATGATTTGCTGTACATGTAAATATAATCTTCACCTTGATACGAATGTACAAACTAAAGTACATGTATTACAGAATTCACGAAATGACACTATACTGAATTATTATAGTGTATAAACTTGCAGTTGACACACACACACACCCACACCCCAAATATTTATGAAGGTGCCTATATTTATGCTGAATGCAAACGAGGTTCATGAGATTACAGATGTGCATGCATGCATAAACATTACCGAGAGGGGCATGACTCCATAAAGCAAGTTGTCCAATGATATAACAGCGCATCTGTTTTTTTACACTTGTCACGGGACAAACCTTTCAACAAGGACGTAACTACATATGCATTCTACCGGAGGCTGTTATTTCAAGGCTGAAAGAGGTGTTCAATTATCTCATTACTGTAATCTGATTGAATGATTATACGCATGTGTATCGATACCGTAACTGATATACTATCCTGCTTTTATTGACGATGGATCAATAGAGACTGAGTTCATTGATACACGTGATAATTACACCGGATTTGATAATTACAGAGATCAAATACAAACGTTTTACACAATGCTCATGTAAATTGCATAGAAAACTGACAATTCAAATCAACATGAAACTTTCAACAGCTTGAACAAAAATGCTTGAAATACCTTTGTATGGTTTAGATGTAATAACTTATGATATTACTTCTGTCCATGTGTGAGAATTTTTTGAATTACCAACTTACTGTGTTTTATAACAAACGTAGTAAAAGATTTCATTGTTGTAATAACATTGACATTTATATATATTCGATGCAAAGGCGTGACTTATCACTTTATATTCCATTAGGTAACATAATCAACTTTAGATTATGGAAAATAACTAGTTACAATTCAGCAAGCTTTAAGTTAGTAAGTTAAATTATGTCTACTCTATTCGAGCTTGGATGTATAATTACTTGTGTTTATACATTATGTTTCAGTATATGAAACATGACAACGTAATAATACCTAAAAAGTAAATTCAAACTATTCTATTGTGTTTGTATTTTTTGTATGTCCTTGAAATTTCGTATATTGTTTCCTATTTATTAGGAAGTTGAAGAAAATATAATCTTCAGTGACCTCTAAACCATTACATCTAATTCAATCAATGTGCACACGAAGTATTTTAGTATCCATTCCCAATGAAGAGTACCAGACACTTACCTCTGTAAAAACATCATAATCCCCTTTCTTGCCGACATGTGTTCATTGGCCAAACGCTGTACAAGCCTATGATAATGATTAGCATTGTTATCAAAACAATTTAAATACTTCTTCTGATTGACACTAAAGGTAGCATCTCTCGTAAGAAAAAACTGATATTTGCTCAGTGGTACTAAATTGGTTGATATAATAGGTACAGTGCGATTTTTAAAAGTACAACACACATGTGCGTCTCTCGCTGAATAAGAGGTGCTTTCTGTTGATGGATATATGTGGCTCTCACTGTGAGAAACTGCCAACTACCTGCCCCATAAACACGTCACTTGCTGTGAGGAGCTGATTAATTTGCCCCATATACGCGTCTCTCGGCCTTAAAACTATCATTGTTTGCTTATCAAATAGATTTTATTGAACTGAATTCTGAGGGTCACTCATAAAACTTGTGTGAAGCTTCACTCGTATGATAATATTTTGAGAGTCTTTTACCAAACTGTTGCGTCAAATACGCAGGAATCGCGTCATGTAAAACCCTGTCTATGACACAAACTTTCATGTCAATAGTCATTAATAATTCTTCCCATTGACTATTTTTCCAATTGAGGAACTTTTTAGCATGTTTAGCCAACCCCAATTATCCATACTCATCCATGCCTGAATATGAATTGTAACTGACGTGCAGCTGCTTTTGACAAATTTTTTAATATTTGTATATACTATGCTGATAATACGTTCTCTGATGAGTGAGTGAGGGTGGATTTACGCTGCTTTTAGCAACATTACAGCGGGGGACACCAGAAATGGGCTTAACACATTATACCCATGTGGGGAATTGAACCCAGGTCTCTGGCATGACAAGTGAATGTTTTAACCACTAGACTACCCTACCACCCCGGTCTCTGATAATGATATATATCAGGTAAATCCTTTTTTTTTATGGAAATGACTTGATCACGATATGTTCTAATGTTCATCCTTTCATGTTCAGTATTTATCATTCATTCACTATCAGTACATTCAGTCAGTATGTTGGTGCACAAGTGAACTCTTAGTAACAACTAAAGCTCCCTGATTTGCTGTGCAGGGTTACCTCCCTTTGGCATGCCAGTAACCAATAACCTGGGGTTTGAATCTGATTCACCCAGATTATGTTTCTGGGCCTGTCAGCACCATACCTATGCAATAGAGATATATTTTGAGGGGCGGTGGGGTAGCCTAGTCGTTAAAGCTATTGCTCGTCACGCTGAAGACCGTGTTTGATTCCCCACATGGGTACAATGTGTGAAGCCCATTTCTGGTGTCCCTGCCGTAATATTGCTGGAATATTGCTAAAAGCGGCATAAAACTATGCTCACTCCCTCACTCACTCACTATGCAAGAGCGATTTATGAGTCATTTATTATATATGCACAGGTTATTGCAATGATGGTCTGTCCTTAATGTGATGTTTATAGTCCAGTAAGCTGTCCATTTGTTTGGCTTGTGTTTCAGTTTGATATAAATCAGCGATTGTTGGTATGACAACATATATTCAGTTAATGGTTACGTGCAGTATGATAATACATGCAGTATGATGATACATGCAGTTGATAATTACAAGCATTTCAAGTTAACATTATTATTCATAAACATTATGATTTCTTTTCATTTGTTAATTGAAGAAGTTGCAGGTCTAAGCAAGAAAAATTAATTAGTTTAATATAAGTGATTAATTCAGGCCAAGAGTTTGGTTTTCTTCTTTCCTACACTGTTGATCACTGGATTGTCTGGTCCAGACTCGATTATTTACAGACTGCCGCCATATAGCTGGAATATTGCTGAGTGTGGCGTAAAACTAAACTTACTCACTCTTTCCTACACTAGCACATTATACTCACTCACTCGTTCACTTCAGTCACAATCTCCCTCACTGATTGGCAGCGATGCTTCAGAAAACAGAACCTCCCTTTTATAACAGTGAACCTCATTAGTCAGGACACCCAGTAATCTGGAATACCCACTTTCCACTAAATTCTAGGCATGAATTGCTGGGAATGCTAGTAAAGGGACTTTGGGTTAGAATAGGCCCCCAGCAAATTAAGCTGGAAGTGAGAGGTGAGAAACAAGGAGTTACAGTGGAACAGCACTAGTCTGGACACCTGTTAATCTGGAATTCCCAATTTTTAGATATGTTGGGAATGTCGTAAAAAAGGAAGAAATATCGATGATGTTGTCACTTTGGTTCCGTGGATGAATGCATGTCATACCATTGCCTTTGATCATTGCAGAAAATGGGTACCCGGTGGTATAAGTCATAAGACTATTAACCTTCTAGCACCTCACAGGCAGCTTGGGTTATCTGGGGGAAAAATGTCCGTCAGGTTGTACCATGCTTAGAACATGTCCCTGTGGTGTGGAGTTAAGCACTATATGAGTGTCCAATTATTATAATACCGTGAAGGATCGTTGCTCACAATCTCGAATACTAGATCGTCTAGAATATTGCTTAGTGTGGCATTACTTCCCCAAAACACAAAGCGACACCTACATACCTTGATTCCTTTATCCAAAATTAATTAATCCTGATGATTTCATTGGGAAGACTGGTGTCCAGAATGATGAGGGTTCACTCTACTCCACAGCACATGTCAAGTTTTCCCTGTAACAAGTATCTCACTGAACCAGTGAAGCGTGTGATATTGTAAAGGACTGAACCACATTGATGCTGTAACCCTTTGATATTCCAAACCATTGTTTTCATTACTGATCAACCAACCAGATATATATTGTATGAATAATTCATATCCGTTGCAATAGCTTCAGAGAAAAGTTCTTTAAAATCCACATACTTTTTATTAACATAATTACCGACTGCAGTAGAATATTACATATACTGTCATTCAATAAACATCAAGCATGGAAATTTTGACAATATCTGACGTGTATATTGTCTAAATGAAGCATTCTAGATTTCAGTTATGAATAGTAAGTATGTAAAAATTTTGTCTTAGTTGGCAAGGAACTGGAAATGTTAGATGTATGCTAAAGAAATGTTTACTCTATTTTGGTTTCTTCTCAGGGTCGTCCTGGTTTTCCTCTGCGTTCCTGGTGGTCAATGCAGCCTTGGGGGCGGGACTGCTCAACTTCCCTCAGGCGTATGACCAGGCCGGGGGCGTCCTCATTGCCATCATTATCCAGACAGTAAGTATTGGGGAGCTGGGCATCCTCATTGCCATCATTATCCAGACAGTAAGTATTGGGGAGCTGGGCATCCTCATTGCCATCATTATCCAGACAGTAAGTATTGGGGAGCTGGGGCGTCCTCATTGCCATCATTATCCAGACAGTAAGTATTGGGGAGCTGGGGTCCCTCATTGCCATCATTATCCAGACAGTAAGTATTGGGAGCTACGTCCTCATTGCCATCATTATCCAGACAGTAAGTATTGGGGAGCTGGGGTGTCCTCATTGCCATCATTATCCAGACAGTAAGTATTGGGGAGCTGGGTGTCCTCATTGCCATCATTATCCAGACAGTAAGTATTGGGGAGCTGGGGTGTCCTCATTGCCATCATTATCCAGACAGTAAGTATTGGGGAGCTGGGGTGTCCTCATTGCCATCATTATCCAGACAGTAAGTATTGGGGAGCTGGGGTGTCCTCATTGCCATCATTATCCAGACAGTAAGTATTGGGGAGCTGGGGCGTCCTCATTGCCATCATTATCCAGACAGTAAGTATTGGGGAGCTGGGGTGTCCTCATTGCCATCATTATCCAGACAGTAAGTATTGGGGAGCTGGGGTGTCCTCATTGCCATCATTATCCAGACAGTAAGTATTGGGAGCTGGGGGGAGCTGGGGCGTCCTCATTGCCATCATTATCCAGACAGTAAGTATTGGGAGTATCCAGACAGTAAGTATTGGGGAGCTGGGGCGTCCTCATTGCCATCATTATCCAGACAGTAAGTATTGGGGAGCTGGGGGTATCAATGCCATCATTATCCAGACAGTAAGTATTGGGGAGCAGAGGTGTCCTCATTGCCATCATTATCCAGACAGTAAGTATTGGACAGTGAATAATGGAGCCTTGCAAAGCAGGGTATGAAACTCCCAAAAATGTCAGCCAGACCACAGGGATGGTTAGATGTAAAACTTGCCAGCCCTGACCAAAACTTACCTTCCCACAACATATGCATGTCCAAATTTTAACCCCAACCGTCGACAGGTGAATTTGAGAATTGGGCAGTCCGTGTTTAAAATAACCCGTCCTGGGCGATCAGGCAGGCAAGTATTCCAAACGCTGCACAAAGACAAGGTCAGCCTAAATTTAAAAAGCTGAATAAGGAAGAAACTGTGCTCTGGTCAGTAAACTTCTAACTATATACAATTTTAGAACCCTTTGTTGATGAATACACAATGCCATTTAGAAAGTAGTCAAATGTAGCACGTGTTATATTTGGGATTACACTTTCTCAGTAAAGTACAGATTCTAGTGTTTTTATCAGGTTGAGTCCCATCCGTGATTCGAACCCCCACCCTCAGAGTCAGACACCTTATCGTCAGCGCACAAAGTCAGCCATCTAACCCATTCAGCCACCGCGACTTCCACAAAAATGGAAGTCGGACAACAGGTAGTGTAGACCACAGACTTAGTCTACCCCTCTGATAAGTGTAAATTTCCACGTCTCCCACAGCCGAAAGCTATGAATACACACTGACATTTAGAAAGTGGTCAAATGTACTAGAATCTGTACTTGACTGAGAAAGTGTAATCCCAAATATAATACCCTTTGTTGATATTTAAGATATACCTTCAGAGATTGACATAGATATGTTTACATGCAATACTGCACTACAAGAAATTTTTGAAAAGTGCATGTAAACAAAATTCAGATGTTTACACTTATCAGAAGGGTAGACAAAGTCCGCAGTCTAGACTACCAGTTGTCTGACTTCCATTTTTGTGGAAGTTGTGGTGGCTGAGCGGGTTAGGCAGCTGACTTTGTGTGCTGGCGATGAGGTGCCTGACTCTGGGTGTGGGCTCAAATCCTGGATGGGACTCAACCCAAACAGTACAAGAATATGTACTTTACTAAAAAAGTGTAATCCCAATTTCATATGTTATGTTAGTTTTCCACACAACAGTGATCTTTAAATACACTCACTACCTCTAACCTTTACTCCAGCATATATGTAAGTGCTGTGATACGTGTAATTTGTCATGCTTCTTGGGCTTGACATCAACCTGGAGGTACTTAGGTACGCACATGTTACGTTTATGTTTTACAGATGTACTTCATGGAGTAATTAAAATCGTGACTCAACCTGATCTGAGATGTTATTGATCAAACAAGTTTGTGCATCAATGGGACATGGGTGCAACCTGCTTGTGATTTATTTAGAATAGATTTGCATCTAAGGGTTTCACTTTGGACACTATACACACACAAACAGCAAAATGGGTGACAGAGCATTCTCTGTGAAGGCTCCACTTTGTGGAATCACCTGCCAGAACAGATCAAGAGTGCAGAGACCTACTCATCATTTGTAGCCTTTTGAAAACTTTCCTCTTCAATGATGCCTACAACTTCAATTTTTAATCCAAAGTTGGTATACTGATCAGAAACTTTTAAGCGCCACTGAGGAGCACAAGTTGGAAGGAAGGCGTTATACAAATCAATAATTATTATTATTTAATATTATTATACAATAGTTTATAGAAAGGTTGCTAAATTTTCATATTCAAATGACGATAATTGGGGAGACATGGGGAAGCATGAAACCTCACTCACTCACCCACTCACATTTACTCACTCGCCCACTCACATTTACTCACTCACTCACTCACACTTACTCACTCACTGTTCATTTCAGATAATGATGGCATTTGTTGTGATGGCCATCTTTGTCCTGGCATACATCTCGGACCTGAATCACAGCGCCACATACCAGGACGTCATGCTGTCAGCATGTGGAAGGAAAGCACAACTAGCGTCCGCCTTTACGCTGCTGGTGTACTGTTTCGGGACTTGCATCACTTTCCTCATCATCATAGGAGACCAGTGGGAGGAATGTAAGTGCAAGGGGCGGTAACTCTCAGTATAGCTGATGGGGTCATCGTCTTCAGCAGAGCAATGTAGCCCAGGTACATTTCTTGGCCAAGGTTTTCTAAGCCCTCTTAGTGCTAAGATAGTCTTAAGTTAATGTTAATTTACGCCTATCTTGGCGCTAAGAGAGCTTCCAAAATCAAGGCCCTGTATACAGAATAGTACCTGAGCCAAAATCTGAATACAGAATCATATCTTAGGACAGGTCCATTCTGCAATGTGCCGTTTTCTTGATGGGATATGTCATACTGTTGTTTTAAATACATTGTACATTTGATTGCATTATCTAAGAAACGAGCATACACAGCAACAAATATTTGGTTGGTTGTCGATAATGTTGTACATGGAAACGTTTAAAAACGTGGTTTAAAAATTATTTGAAAGGGGGGATGTCATTGATGCTATTACTCATCCCACTGAACACCGAGTTAGGTTTATGTGGGATATTTCATCATATGCTATTTGCAATTGTGTAAATTTTAGGGATACAGAGTAACAACTGTCTATTCCTGACAGTACTTTAGTGAATTGGGTATAAATGTTTACATAGAGATTATTAACCGAGTGTGTTTCCAAACAGATAAGGTAAATAATCTCTTTATTATATGTCATTCTTAAAATTACTTTAAAAAAAAGATGCAAATCGTTCATGAATTTATATGAAGAGAATCGAGCATTCGTGTAAGAATACTTAGCGGTGCAACAAGGTGAAGGTCATTCATGCATCATGTTCGTCCATGCATTGGAAACCACCTTTAAACTCGCAACAACATCATTAATGAAGTATTAACGTTTTAGGATTTGCATGGCGTGTATGGAGTTTTGTGAAAGTGTCAATAAGTTCGTGTATTGACCTAATTTGCATATTTATCAGATTTGGATACCAAGTTTATCAGATAACCACAAGGATGCTGCCTTTGAATGTACAAGGAAGATAACTTTCTGTTTATGAAAGGCTGCCAGTTGGAAGACTGTATATATGAAGGAGATAAATCTCTACTCTTCACTCTACCTGTGTCAAGATATAGAGGATATTATATGAGTGCCCATGTCATACTATGTTTATGAACACGAGTGCCTAAATGTTGGTATTTCCCAAGCGAGAGCAAGGGATATACTGATATTTAGGCCCTAGTGTGATATGGGCATGAATATAATGTTCTATTTATTACCGAAGTCGTCAAATTGAGCAAAATAAACCCAAATCTACTTTCAAACATAGGCTGGCTACCCGCGGTCGCGGCATGTAGAACAGAACGTCATAGAAGAAAAGTGACGTCATAGCATTGTCACCATGACAAAGTAATATTTTGCCCAAGGGCATTGTATGGAAAATATTAACCCCTATATTTTTCGCCCTCGTAGGTAATGAATAAAAATATGAGGGCAGTAGGAGAGGGGGAGGTGGAGTTCATGTGTATGTGCTGGGGGATGGAGTGATTCCGTGATCATAAAAGTTCACCTGGAACATGAGCAGGGCTGAAAAAAAATTCCACTCAGTAGACTCTGCTCAGTGATTGACGAGTAAAATGTGTTTCTCATTGGCAAGTGAAAAATATAATATGCTTTCGCCCTAGAGGACCTACTGCCCCTGTCCAGTAGAGCACGAGTACCTTTTCTGACCCAGAGGTAACATTTTCTTTTTCCTTGAAGTTCAGCTGTCTTAAATGGTGAATGAATTCAATTTGGTCAAAGATTTTGTACAGAAGGCAAAGTAAGTAATGTTTATTGTAGTTTTTTTCCAAGCAAACATTTTGAAATAAAATAAATTAAATTTATATTCATTGTGATGCATGATCTATAGGGAAAGTACAATTTTAGAAGGACGAGTGGAAAGTTCATATTACTTGCCCTACAGGGGGAGTGCAGAGTTTTTAATTTTTCGAGCCCTGATGAAAAATGTAAATTAAAAAGAGGTAACTCTGGTCATCACAAGGTTGATCAATGTGTGTGTAGGAGAAGGTTTCTCTCTGATTAAAATTGACTTGTTGGACGAAATGTTGGTTGATACATTTGATTCACATTCTTCAGATGTAGTTTTCTTACAAACCTGTGGGTGAGAAACCGATGTGAGATAACCAGTATTTAACATTGAAATTGAATTCCAGGTCTGTGATTGGTCACTCTATGTTGATGACCTCAGATCAGATTAGATAAGACTACTTACCTGAATGTAATTTATTGATAAGTTTAATGCGTGCTGCGGTCAAACTCACATGTATGTCGAATGTTATCTTTTTGGAGTTTTTTATCAATGTTAGGTGTTATCTAGTTTCTATTAAAAATTCACGAACTAGATAGTCTACAGGTATGACGGAAACATTTATGTGGAGGGTCGCACTAGTTATGAGTTGTAAGCAGTAGGCAGGATAACGTCACAAATGGACATTGTGTTATGTATTATTGCACCACTGTGATCATGAAACAGACAAAAAATATGTTGATTCATTGCTGAAATGATGCAGTTTTATTATCTGTATCTATTACTGCAGACATGCCTGTAGGAAGGATACCAATATCTTACGAGTTGTTTAATAAATTATCTAATGAGCAAAAGCACTTGTAGAAATCTCCATGTATCAGATGTAAAAAAGCATGATGCACACTGTTCATGTTGAATAGTTCATTAAAGGAAACAGACCAAAGGTATGTGTGCTAAGGGGAGATCACTCTCTTCTCTTTCAGTTTTCCTTTTCGTTGCCAAGGAACTATACTGTGAAGAGCAGCCAATCTACATGAACAGAATTTTCTGTGTTGTTGTTACGTCATTCCTATTCATCCTTCCCCTCTGTTTCCCCCGGAGGATCGACTTTCTCAAATATGCCAGGTATGCTGCAGTTTTTTTGTGTTTGTTGTAGTCATACACTCATAGGTGTATGTTACCAATCTACCGAACAGAAAGCAGATCATAGTTGGCAGATTAGGGTAATAGTCCATGAGCCACACCGTTGATTTATATGTTTGACTACCAAATCGAGGGACAATTTTCTATTCTGATTTTCAAATCGCCTGATGTTCATACTACATGAAATCATGTGATGGACATCCCACATGTACAGCTAAATGTAATTTTGGCAGACATTTTCAAGATGGCCGGCATTTTTCATTGTTTTCCAAAATCACAGAAATAAACATGCAAAAACAGAGCTAACAATTTCTTAACAATTTTTGTGGGATGAAATGTGTCTTAGCTAAATTCAGAATATTTTGATAATAAATTTGTATGACATTTTGAGGCAGAGTAGTACATATCAATATCAGGTAGGTAGGTGGTGACACCAGCAGGCTCATATAGCCTAATTAATTGCTGTGTTAATTAGGTTGTACACGGTTCACTCCAAAGTGACAGACCTCCCAAAAGACAGACCTCCCATAAGACAGACCTCCCATAAGACAGACTCAATGAGTACAATAATTAGCTGAGCCATGCTGTCCACCCCTATTTAATTAATGAGCTGGCCTAAGAAGAGCAGAGTATAGAAACGTGCGTCCCAGGTACTTCTAGAGTATTTCTTGTCTGTGCACTGACAAACATGTGATGTAAAATAATATGGTGCTTGGTCTCATAGTGAATGAGTGAGTTAATATTTAGCGTCACATCGGCGATATTTCAGCCATATCGTGACGAGAACAAGTTAATTTATATCAATATTAAAATCAATAAATTTAGAGCATAAAAAGCTGTCATTGAAGGACAGTAAAAATACTAGAGCATCACAGATATATATTTAACACTAGTACGCTATCATAAAATTAAATCAGTATAGGCAGTACAAAATAAAATCAGATCACCAACAAATGAAGGTAGATCACCATACTAGGTCCATGGGACATACATGTGTACAGTACTTTTGCTACCTGCATGGACCCTACAGTCCGTTTGAGTCAGAAACGGACCGATAAATTGCAAATTTGTTCATTGTACAAAATTGCCACATAAATATAAATAGTACACATGTTTATCATTTACTAATACCCAACAGCTTTCATATAATTGAAAATTTTCCGGACTCCACCAAAAAAGTTCTTTAAGAAACTATCATTAAAATTTTGACACAGTTCACTATTTGTTATGAGGGAGGAGTGCAGAGAAAGGGACAGCCAGGTGTTAGAGAAGCATCATTGCACAAGTGCCCACCAAGTTATTGATTCATTAGCCTGTGCTGTGCCGTCTCCATCCTTTCTCGCACACCTGGCTGTCCCTTTCATGTGTACTATTTATATTTATGTGGCAATTTTGTACAATGATAAAATTTGCAATTTATCGGTCCGTTTCTGACTCAAACGGACTGTAGATGGATTTACACCATCCCTTCAGCTGCTGGCGATTATGCTGAGTCTTAGCCATTATTAAAAATAACAAATATACTACGATTAAAAGTTTTGTAGAGCTAAATTGACTTTGATGTTTTGGGACTTACGGCTTGGTCTCATATGTTTGATAGGTACATGTATATAAATTATTGTTTTTGATAATATTCACAAGTAAATACGATCTGGCAAGTATATGTTGATGTACATATATGTTGATGCAATATGTCTTAATGTAAAAAAACATAATTCATTACATGAATTGATAAAACTATAGTTAATACCTAATGTTATCTTTTTTTATCTGGGCACATACCATTATTATCAAGGGTACAGCTTAATTAAGCCTTATGCAACCAACCATAAAATGTGTTGTTTCAAGCGGTCTGTCTTTTGGGAGGTCTGAGACTTATGGGAAGATACCTTGTACACTGCAGTTACTAGTAATTGTGAATGTGTTCAGGCCAGCACACTCCCAGATCAACAATTGAATTTATAATCACCCACTAACAATTTTCACCAAATAAAATTAAACGAATTACAGTTTTCTCCAAATTCCCACCCATCCAAATAACATCTTTGATTTACAACCATTTTGATTGCCAGGTCCTCTTGTCTTTGCTTCTTACTTTGGTTTCAAACACTTTTGTTGTAGGAATTTTGCTGAAAATACAATTATGTGGTTCTTAAGATATGATTGTGAGTGAGTTTAGTTTAACGCCTCATTTAGCGAGGTGGGGGACACAAGAAATGAGGTACTAGTCATTTGTTACACTGGATTGTAGTGGTGACCATTGTGGAGGAAACAACTATTGTGATAACGATAGCCTATTGCGACCAACTATTGCAATACTATTCTCCTTGAATTGCCTCATTTGAAATCATTTCCCAAATGAATGTATACTTTATATGAATTGTGTACCTTTGTTTTTTAACTGACTGAGTTTGGTTTTACGCCGCTTTTAGCAATATTCCGGCAACATCACGGCGGGGGACACCAGAAATGGGCTTCATACATTGTACCCATTGTTTTTTAAAGTGTGCCAGAAAGTGTGCTAGAAATCCATGATCACTGGTTCGAAACCCAGTTCACCCAAGTTTTGTTTGTGTGGTTGTCGCACCATATTTGTGAGTTTCATGAAAATGGTAGTGTCTAGGATCACTTCAGGTCCCACTATCATGTCATTAATGCGAGATATCTGAAATATGGTTCAAAGTGGGATTAAACTAAACTCGCTCACTGTCATTACCATATCAATATTTGTTATTATTAATTACATACTTATGGCCATTGACCCATTGTACCTTTAAATATACAGGATCCCTATCCACAAAGGGTTTGTAATGTTTCTACCTGTCGTAACTCTATTGTTTACCATAGGCTTATGAATGTCGTAGCTACAAACACTTTGTGGATCGGGACTCTGGACCACAGATGATATTACTCTGCTTCTTACATTCATGGCAGGGAATGTAAACAGCAAAAGGTTTTAAGTTTGTTCATGGTTTCAGCATGGCGTGATGACAACAATAGGTTAAACTCAGACAATGTTAGATGTACATACTATCTTCTACATACATTTTTATGCCTTAGATTATTATAACTTACAAATTTACAGAAAATGGTATTTGTTCTCAATATATCCTTGTTACAGAGGAATATTATATCTTCCCAATTATTATCGAGTGTAAGAGAACTGCAGCCGTCACGGGAGAGTGCAGTATATTATGTCATTGTTAATATTTATAGTTCAACTCAAAAGTTAAATTTTTGGACAGTTCTGAGGTGAGGTGAAATTGGGTTTATCGTCGTGCTTGAGAATATTTCGCTCATATGACGACGTGCATGCGTGTGTATGTGTATGTGCGGCTGCTTGTACTAGCCCAGACTTAGGCTGGTTTTATAGTGCTAGCCCACTGAGATACCATGCTGCAGTGAAGCATGAATACCCCACTCAGGCACATTGTGACTGACCCCGAGCCGACCAGTCCTTGTTGTACCCATTAATGCCGAGCGCCAGGCAGGGACCAACAAGTACCATAGTTTAACGTCTTTTGGTATGACGCGGTCGGGGATCGAACCCGCGACCTTCCACTCTCTGGGCGGACGCTCTAACCACTACACCACGGAGGCGGTTCGGACAGTTCTGAATGCCATTCTTGTTCATGAATATATTTAAATCATGATACAAATTCAGACATAGCCTTGGATTGGAAACTGCTTGTTTTTGTCCAAACAAAGTCAATACAAAGTTCATGTGTTTTTTGAACCAGTTTCATATTGGTACTGTATGAATAGGTTTTGTGCACAAGTTACTCAACAGCCTGAGGATTATTGTTCATTTTATCCATGTTTGGGTCCCAGATTCCCAGATCATGATGATATTTATTGGATTGCAGTGTTACTGTCACTATAGACTATAATTACCGGTAATAACATCTATTATCCTACTATACTATAGACTAATGCTGGTTGAAAACTATTACATCTTCTATTTATCTGTTTCAGTTTTGTTGGCGTAGTTGGGATTGTTTATGTTGTTGTCATGGTAACCGTGAAGTACTTTCTCCCTCATGATCCCCCCTGAGAGCGTGAAGACAACGTAAGTATTTTATATGTAAGCAGTGTATGAAATAAGGCACGTCAGAGCAGTCTAGATTTCTGACGGACGGTCTAAATTTACAGCTAGCCAGTCCGATGGCAAGGTAAAATTTTTACATGTCCCATACATCTGATTAAATTCACTTTTTGGTCTGGTTAAATCCATTTTGGGCTGGTAACATTTTGAAGTTACCAGCCCTGATGTCTGGCTGGCTTTTTTGGCATATTTCATACACTGATGTAAATGGGAAGAGGGCATTGTGGGAAAATTGACTGCATAATTATTAGTTACTGTACACAGGGATATTACCCACTGGTCATAATATATCAGTTCTTGTATTTTTTCAGTGTTTGGAGAACCTCCCATTTTCTATGCAAGGTGCAAGGTGAAAGTTGCATCTTGAATAGACACTGGAAGTAACAACATATGAAATGCAAAAGGGAGATAACTCTTGAATCCTTTTAAATGCATAGACCACTGGCTAAAAATAGACATTGTCAGTTCAAACAATCCATTTTATGATAAAGTCCTGTGTAAGGGATGTCTATTTTGTTTAACACAGGGCATCATGTAATATAGTGTAGAGTTGTGTTCACATGTCCGAAACCCTTTGAGCACCATGTTGCTGGTCATAGTTTGTTATCAAGGAGAATTTAGTGGTCAAATTCATCCCTGAGGGAGTGTGTTCCTGCTCATATTCAGTGCCTTATTTGTCTGACGCAGATTCACTTATTATCCCCCGCCACACATTTAGCGTGAAGCAGGGGATATAGTAATAGGCTCAGTCCGTCTGTCCGTAACATACGTACGAATTGGAATATCTTAAGAACCGTTCACTAGATTCTTTTCATATTTGGTACCTAGGTTCATCACAGTATAAGAAAGGTTCAAGTCAGGTTCGGTGACCTTGACCTTCATTTCAAGGTCACAAGGGGACTGTAACGTTTTACCTGCATGTTAAGCTATCTCAAGAACCGTTCCCTGGATTGTCTTCATATTTAAAACCAAGCTTTATCTAGGAAAGGCGCAGGGCCCAGTCAAGTTTGGTGACCTTCACTTAATTTTCAAGGTCACAGATACATTTTGAAGATTTCAGCATATTAACCTACAGCTTATGCTTGTCAATGAGATACCTCAAGAACCATTCGCTCGAGTTTCTTCATATTTGACACCAAGCGTCATCCAGGGAAGGCGCAGGGCCAAGTCAATTTTGGTGACCTTCACTTAATTTTCAAGGTCACAGAAACACTTTGAAGATTTCAGCATGTTGATCTGAATTGTCAGCAAGATATTTCAAGAACGGTTCACTGGATTTTCTTCAAAGACTTCCCTTAAATGTTTTTCAAAAAGCAATTTCTTTAGTACTATTTTTGCATATTTCATACACTATGACATTCATGTCATGGTCAAAGTCAGTCTTGAAAATATGTGTGTGTTTGAACACCTAAAGAGCATGATATCAAGAGAGGTTGACTGGTCATGTTTTTGTTGACATTTAACTTAAACTTTCATTACTTTATAAGTTTGATTTGATCATTTGCGGCGGGGGATTATGTCACCTTAGTGACAATGCTTGTTTAAACTGCATTGATGTAGCTGCATATTACAGTGACATCTGTTAAAACATTCAATCGATTACTTGTAATCGAACAGTTGTATTAAAGAAATTGTATGTGGTCCTTTTTTACAGACCTGATTCCTGGATGGACGTCTTCCTTGTTGTACCAACTATATGTTTTGCATATCAGGTAAGTCAAACCTCAGAACAGTTGATTAGTACAGGAAAAGTTATCTCCCCTTAGATGTCACATTCTAGGGACTCATCTTCCTGTCGTAACTTCGGAACTGTGAGTTTGATGTTACAACCAGGGAAATACCTACCCTTCCATGAAAATATTGAAATATGAATAATACATTCCTTAATTTGGTTCTAGATTTAGTGACATGATATTTATGAAAAATATAAAAAGTAACCCAGTAATAATATTTCCCTATAGCATGTATATGTATAATCTGGCAATGGTTGTCAGTGGCACATTGTTTAATGCGTATCAATTTGGGTGAGATTTTTCTAAACTCCAGAAGGTACGTTGTTTCATACTTCTTCCATAGGAATGGTACTCATGGTAATCCTCTCAATAGGTACGTGGTTCTCTGCTGCAGTTGGGGGCTGTGGGGTAGCCTTGTGGTCAAAGCGTTGGCTCGTCACGCCGAAGACCCGGGTTCGAATCCCCACATGAGTACAATGTGTGAAGCCCATTTCTGGTGCCCCCCGCTGTGATGTTGCTGAAATATTGCTAAAAGCGGCGTAAAACCAAACTCAGTCTGCTGCAATTGGTAATTAATGTTTCTTACATTAAATCTGTGATGCATTCTCCATATTGTTAAAGTGTTATGCAAATCATACAGTTTTAACAAAATATACAAGCAATTACATTATTTTTGTGAAACAGACCCTGATGTGAACTTCATTTTTTCAAAATTATTCACAGACAATTCTGACAACTGTAGTTTGGTCCAGGCAAATTGTAACTAATTTAACTCTCAATTGTAACTTGCAATGATCTTAGCCTACAATCACTTTGTGCAGGTGGATGGTGATTGTAGACAAAGCCTAACATCACTCTTTTGAATTCACAATAATTGTAGCACTAAGACTGTTTTGTGCAAGTGGGCCTTGGAGGGTTTTAGAGTCCTCAGATATGTAACTTTCCCCATTAGTCAAAGATTCTTGACGTTTATTATGTGTTTCCAACACTGGATATGTAATTGAAATTTCTTACTCTTCACAGTGCCATGTCAGTATTATACCTATTTACTCCTGTATGGAGAAGAGAAATGTGAAGGAGTTCGCAAAGACCATCTCCGTGGCGATGTTACTCTGCGTGATCAGCTATACAGTGACAGCGGCACTAGGATACCTCCAGTTTGGTCAGAGCGTCACCAGCGACATATTGCTGTCCTTCAAGCCTGATATACCCGTGATTGTTGCGGTGGTGTTCATAGCCATTAAGACCTACACAACATATCCGATTCTACTGTTTTGTGGAAGGTTTGCATCATCACTTATCGTAGCCTGATATGAAACATTCAGCTGATGACAGTCAACTAGCCATTTAGGCATAGCATTTCTTTATATCAACCCACTTGTCGTAAAAGGCGACTAATGGGATCGGGTGTCCAGGCTCGCTGACTTGGCTGACACATGTCATCGGTTCCCAATCACTGGATTGTCTGGTCCAGACTCGATTATTTACAGACCGCCGCCATATAGCTAGAATATTGCTGTAGTGTCTCAAACATGTAGTTAAACTGAAGACAATCTTGCCTTGACTCATCATTCATCCCAATTCAGTTAACCTGCTACACAATCCAGACATCTCAACTACTTTTAGTGAGTGAGTGAGTTTAGTTTTATGCCGCACCCAGCAATATTCCAGCTATATGGCGGCGGTCTGTAAATAATAGAGTCTGGACCAGGCAGTCCAGTGATCAACAGTATGAGCATCGATCTGCACAATTGGGAACCGATGACATGTGTCAACCAAGTCAGCGAGCCTGACCACCCGATCCCGTTAGTCGCCTCTTACGGCAAGCATGGGTTACTGAAGATCAATTCTAACACGAACCTTCACAGGTACCACTACTTTGAGTTCAGACATGGAAGGACACCACTGGCAGACATGGAATGAGTTGCGATTAAGTCTCACTCTAATGATCCATCATACAAATAATATTGATCATTTATGTCAATTTCGTGTTATTTGTTTATCACATATGTTCTATATTATTAATTTTCATGTCTATTGGTAAATGTATGATAAGTTTGTTTTTCAGTTTTGTCAGCTCTCGTATAAATCAAAGTATTATGACGGTCCCTTCAACACTGACACAGTGGTATTTCACTGTACTTGCCAGGCATTGATATATTGGTGTATATGTACATAGTATCATGGTCTATGCTATGTATATGTTGGCCTGAAATCACAACATTAACAATCGAGCAGTGAAAATATAAAAACTAAAATGGTGTGGCAAACTGTTTTGTATCGGAATAGGAACTGATTGATTGTATTTTATTTGCAGGGCAGCATTTGAGTCCATCTGGATCTGTGTCAGAAAAATACCTCCAGAAGATCTTGCTCAAGGGGAGAGAATGCGACGCATCATTACGACTGTTATCTGGTTCGTGTTGACGGTAGTGCTCGCTGTACTTATACCCAACATTGGAGTGGTTATACAGATGCTCGGAGCTCTGGCAGCAGTCTTCATCTTTATATTCCCAGGTAGGGCATCATGACATACTATGTTGATATATCATTTATACCCAACATCGGAGTGGCTATACAGATGCTCGGAGCTCTGCCAGCAGTCTTCATCTTTATATTCCCAGGTAGGGCATCATGACATACTATGTTGATGATATCATTTATACCCAACATTAGAGTGGCTATACAGATGCTCAGAGTACACATAATCAGTATATACCCAGGTAGGGCAGCTAATCATGTTATGGCCCATATAAACAGGATGCTTAAGGAGACATTTCCTGATGTCCCAGGGAATGTCCAGAGAAGTGCTTGTAAGGATCTGTCCAAAATATTTCTATCACAGTATCGTGAAGAAGTTATCCATAAATTATGGCTTGTTTATTTTATTTTGCGAAAGATGTTAAGAATACCTTAAATAATTGCAGCAACTTGAAAACAGTATCGTGGTGATATAAGGAATAAGTGTTCCCAGTGTATCCATGTTTCAGAGCTGACTTTTGAGAATGGCATGGTCAGACTTTCTTCGCCTGTAAAATTTATAAATGTTCTGCTTGAAAGATGCGTCAAATCTCATTGTTATTGAAGGAAAACCAAGTTCTATGGACAGTCAACTTGTTTATTGCAACGACAGTTTTCGTGTAGCTTTTAACACCGTTATCAATCAAGTGATGACAACTTGCTTGATAACGGTGTAAGTACCTACACTGACATGTCACACTCATTGCAGTAAAAATGTTGACTATCCATAGAACTTGGTTTTCCTTCATCTTCACAACTTCTAAAATGACTCTCAAAGAACCTCATTGTTATTGTCAGAAAACCTGGTATTTCAGCAAAAACTGTAATTATGGTCAGAGTAGGATCAGGTGCATTTTGTGTGAATCATTTCTGAATTTAACTTTGAGAATATTGCTGGTAATTCAAATTCCTTTACATGGATTAAAATTATCATGTCTGTTTTCAGGAATGTGCCTGTTGAAGACATCACATAGTCGACTAGCAGAGTCTACATCAGTTGAAGAACAGCGGAAGTACAAGTTTTCCTATACTTTTCCTGCTTTTTCATCACCTTGGGAGCATTTATCTTTGGTTTGACCTTTACTCAGGCCCTAATGAAGGACCTTGCCCCTGGTGGCATAAAGCCTGACAAATCAAAGTTCACATGTTGACCTTCTGAGGTCAGCATTTATCTTTGGTTTGACCTTTACTCAGGCCCTAATGAAGGACCTTGCCCCTGGTGGTATAAAGCCTGACAAATCAAAGTTCACGTGTTGCCCTTCAGAGGTCATCAAGCTTTGACCTTCAGAGGTCATCAAGCGTTGACCTTCAGAAGTCATCAGGTGTTGACCTTCTCAAAGAGAAAACTTCGACCCATCATGTTGCCATTAATGGTAGTTATTCCAAAGTATGAAATGGATCTCCTACGAATGCTTGTAGAATCACCAGTATGGCCATGTAAACAAGTCAGAAATTCTGCCTTGCCAGTTTGTGTTGAGTGCTAAGGACAAAAATTGGACGTAGATGCATGCAGTAACACAGCTATATCTACAGACAAGCCAAGCAATAGATATGGGTGATTGAGTTTAGTTTTACACCACACTCAGCAATAGTCCATCTATTTGGCAGAGGTCTGTAAACATCGGACCCGTGAAGAAGAAGATCCGGGGTAGAATAGGTCTTCAGCAACCCATGCTTGCCACAAAAGGCAATTATGCTTGTCGTAAGAGGCGACTAACGGGATCGGGTGGTCAGGCTCGCTGACTTGGTTGACACATGTCATCGGTTCCCAGTTGCGCAGATCGATGCTCATACTGTTGATCACTGGATTGTCTGGTCCAGACTCTTATTATTTACAGATCGCCGCCATATAGCTGGAATATTGCTGAGTGTGGCGTAAAATTAAACTCACTCACTCACTCACTCACTCACTCACTGTAAATAATGGAGTCTGGACCAGACAGTCCGATGACATGTGTCAACCAAGTCAGTGAGCCTGACCACCGATTAGTCGCCTCTTACAACATGCATGGGTTACTGAAGATTCATTCTAACCCAGACCTTCACGGGTAGCAATAGATATGGTGTTGAGGTTGTGGTTGGTGGATGGGATTCTGGAGGGCACAGTCCTTCAAGCTACTGTTGTTTGTTGTGCAGAGTTACTTCCCTTAGAGAGACTGGAACCTGCAATGGAATGCCTGATTATATAAATCATGCTACTTGTTTTGTCAGCTTCAGTCTCACAGTGCTCAAGGGTTTCACCACTGTGGTAAAAGTCGCAGACCTGCATGACTTCAGGTTTTCCTTAAAAAATAACCTAGGACACACAATAATATTACTGAAATACATTGTATAAGATGGTTCAACTCGACTCACTAAATATACTGACCTACATAAGAGTGTACACACCTGGTGTTTTGCTACTATACCCCCCAAAACATTAATATTTTGCAAGCAGTGTTGTAATTAGGTACAATATTGTGTTTTTTTGGAAACACTTGCACAATGTTTGCAGAATGTAGGCAGAATCAAAACACTTTTTAAATATTAATGCTGTTTTTAATAATTTTTAAAATATTTTACCAAAGAATGAGGTGTGTACTTTCTTTTGAATATCAGTTTAGATGTGGAATATATGGAGTTATCTGGTGTATTTAAAGTCAACCTTTAGCCATTGATCTCAGTGTGATAGACACATTTTTAATCCAGATTACCATGGTAACAAATAACGAACACAATTGTTGTTGCCAATTTATGTGGAAGTATGAATTCTCAATGTATAACAATTGTTACATGAAGCAAGATTTAGTGGTGGTCCGATTAATTGAAATAATCGAAATTGGTCGCAGTGACTAAACGACCAAGCAATCGATCATGTTTTCTCATAATCGAACACAAACAATTCTGGAACACTTTTAGCATTAACAATATTTTTCACTAGGTTGGTTTTGTCAGTTACATTTCAAAAGCTTGTTCCAAGTCATGATTGAATTTATCTTGACATCAGGAAGTTTATGTTCCTAACATACTAGTCATCCTTTAAAGATGTGAAAATTGCCCAAAAAACCTCCAAAGAACTACATGTTTTTTTCTTTATGTTTTTGTGCATTAACAAAAATAACCAGGAAAAATTCATAAATGACGCTAACCAATTATTTTCGATGATTGATCGGTTGTAATGAAGCAATCATCAATTATGAGATTTTAACCCATTCCCAACACTAGCAAGATTAACATGTTGTTTCAAGCCTTATTTGGCAGAATAACGTTTATGGAAATTATAGGCACATGCATAACATGTATGAAGCTCTATCGCTATACAGAGTTGCCTCCCTTGAAATCTATGATTCATGGTTCGAATCCCACTTCTGCCTCATTAATTTTCTATGTTTGGAAGCAACATATTCAGTAAGCATCTGAGAAGTGCATCACTTTAGTCGTTTCTTCCATATCAAGTTTGACATTCTGTGATATAACTGGAACTGTTGACAACAGTGGGTGTTCTACTCACTCTGAAATCTGAGAAATTGGATAATGGCAGATTTTCCGTACATTTTGTGATATATAAATAGAATGGCAAATAGTTTTAGATGCTGTGATATGTCTGTATTGATCCTTTAAAAGCCATCTTCTGCATTAACAGTATGCAGTCCATATCCACAGTGCAGAGTTACCTCCCTTAGTCAGTTCCACCATCTCTGCTATAAGGGTTATTGCACATATTCCTCCTTGTATTTCGTTGTCTTTTCATGCTTGTTGGTTGCAGCAAAATGGTTAACATTGCTGACCTACATCACAACTTCAAACCAAAGCTCAGTGACATAACTAAAATACCCATCAAAAGCATTGTCAACCCAAAGCATCCATTCATAAAATCACTTCAGTACCCGAGACTCATAATAAAACCTTAAAAATATTTTTTGTTCGGAAGCTACAAAGTCATTACCATTTTTCATATGAGTTGCATAAACAAATAAACCTCATACTGAGAAAATTTCAGGATTTGTTTCTGTTTTCTGTGAGAGGAACTGATTCTTCCTGTCTATATCTGCAAGAATCTTGCTTGATATTTTGTATTCAACTTTTTCTGGGGATATTCAGATGTCATATTTAGAAATACACTTGACTTGACATGTTGTGTTTATTACTGACAGATGATAATATCCTATCAAAAGAATGATAGTATGTAGCTTTTTGTTGTTTGTTCAGGCTCAAGAGATTATACTGCAATACTCAATATGTACATAGATTATCTGTCACAGAATATACACCTTCAAATCATTTTGTTTAATTCACATCAGTTTACACAACATCATTTATTATTGAAATATTGCCTCAGCTATCTTGATGTACCTATTGTATACTTGTCCTTTTAATTAACATAAAACCGATTAGTTTCAGGTCTTTTGAGTGTGATGTTACCTGCCTATCTAGAAGTATGTTCAGATTTGATTTAAACATTGTTTGATAAATAGTGGATCGAAAATCAAAAGTCCCCAGCCAAATATTGCTTGTCTCATTGGAATAGCCTCAGAGCGTTAGGGAAGCCTAGTGGTTAAAGCGTTCCTTGTGTCAAAGACCTGGGTTCGATTCCCCACATGGAAGCCCATTTGAAGGCATTTCTGGTGTCCCCCGCCGCGATGTTGCTGGAATATTGCTTTCAAAAAGCCAAACTACTCACTCACTCACTGAGTCATGCAAATTGAATGGACACAGCAGTCATCTTCTCACATATGATTATAATCATGCGCTATCATTGGGTGTCATGGTCTCGCAATAACACCTCACTACGTCCAGCCTTCGCCCATGCAGGTTTGCTTGGCAGTGTTATGAGAAAGAGAATTATCTCCCCTTCCTAACTCTCCCTTTTTGTTTGGCCTGGTTGCGCGGATTGGCGCGTGTTCGGTGTACCAATAAAATCTATAACGAAGAGTTCTCTCGTGTCCTCTCAACACACAAGCGTACAGTACCTTCTACCTAAACTGGCGCTTGCAACATGGTAACGTCCATCTGGCAATCCAGCGACTGAGTCCAGAGGTTAACATTTTTGTTTCTATTTACATATTTATACCATGATGTCTCGAAATAAAATACTCTTTTTATATGTTTCTTTTACTGTTTGTATTAGTTGTTCCACCAGTTCCATATTCAGTGTAACCTTGATGACGGCGCTAAATCACAGTTTAAAGTGACGTACCATATTTGTTCCAGGATGTCTTAATTTTGCGCAAGCATGGCATCTGTACATGTTCTGTTTAACGTTGGTACAGTGGCAAAGGCATCGTATTACCTTATCTACTCTTAAGTTCAAGTCACACAACGGGTATTTTGCAAGAAAACGTCCCTGTTATGCACAGAGGTCAGCATTTAATGGAGCGAATACGGCACACCAAACACGTTCAGCATTCGCTACTTACACCATTCTTCAGTTGGGTTTCTCCTGACCTGGGCCAACATCCATCATAGAAACACAGATCTATTTTCCACGTACTTTCACATATACCCACATCCCACATATACCCTATTCCGCCCTAGAGATTCACGTACTTTCGCAAATACCGGCATTCACTCAAGAAACGCAGGTCTACGATGCCAGTACTTTCACATACCGGGGTATATACACATGCACCCTAGAGAGGCAGGTCAACGACCCACGTACTTTCACATATACCCACACTCACACACAAAACGGAGGTCTACGATCCTAGTACTTTCACATACCGGGGTATATACACATCCACCCTAGAGAGGCAGGTCATCGACCCACGTACTTTCACATATACCCACACTCACACACAAAACGGAGGTCTACGATCCCAGTACTTTCACATACCGGGGTATATACACATGTACCCTAGAGAGGCAGGTCAACGACCCACGTACTTTCACATATACCCACACTCACACACAAAACGGAGGTCTACGATCCCAGTACTTTCACATACCGGGGTATATACACATCCACCCTAGAGAGGCAGGTCAACGACCCACGAACTTTCACATATACCCACACTCACACACAAAACGGAGGTCTACGATCCCAGTACTTTCACATACCGGGGTATATACACATCCACCCTAGAGAGGCAGGTCAACGACCCACGTACTTTCACGTATACCCACACTCACACACAAAACGGAGGTCTACGATCCCAGTACTTTCACATACCGGGGTATATACACATCCACCCTAGAGAGAGGCAGGTCAACGACCCACGTATTTTCACATATACCCACACTCACACACAAAACGGAGGTCTACGATCCAAGTACTTTCACATACCGGGGTATATACACATGCACCCCAGGTCAACGACCCACGTACTTTCACATATACCCACACTCACACACAAAAACCGGAGGTCTACGATCCCAGTACTTTCACATACCGGGGTATATACACATCCACCCTAGAGAGGCAGGTCAACGACCCACGTACTTTCACATATACCCACACTCACACACAAAACGGAGGTCTACGATCCCAGTACTTTCACATACCGGGGTATATACACATCCACCCTAGAGAGGCAGGTCAACGACCCACGTATTTTCACATATACCCACACTCACACACAAAACGGAGGTCTACGATCCCAGTACTTTCACATACCGAGGTATATACACATGCACCCTAGAAACACAGGTCTAAGATTCACGTACTTTCACATATACCCACATCCGTCCTCGAA